AAAAAAAACAGAAAATTACAAGTAGATGTGGAGAAACTGGAATCCCCATACACTGCTGGCTGGACTGTAACATCGTGCAGCCACTATGGGAAACAGCTGTCAGGTTCCTCAAAATGTTAAACATATAATGTCCTCATGACTGAGCAATTTCATTGCTAGGCATAGGCCAAAAGAATTAAAAACAGGGACTCAAATCCTTATATGCCAATGTTTATTGCAGCATTACACACAATATGTAAAAGGTGAAAGCAACTTAAGTGTCCATCAGATAAGCATAAAATGATAAATACATTCAGTGGAATATTATTTAGCCATAAAAACTGAATGAAGTTCTTATACATGCTAAACCATGGATGAACTTTGAAACATCATGCTAACTGAAATAAGCCTGACATGAAAGAGCAAACAGCGTATGGTTCCTGTCAGTCCATCTGTGTTGCCATAAAGGAATACTTGGGACTGCTGAGTACTTTATAAAGAAGAGATATGTTTGGCTCAGAGATCTGCAGAGTTCTGCAAGAAGCATGGCACCAGCATCTGCATCTGGTGAGGGCCTCAGAAAGCTTCCATTCATGGTGAAAGAGAAAGAGATGCTGGCATAGAGAGATCATATGGAGGGTCGGGGAGGTTCCAGGCTCTTTCTAACAACCAGCTCTCACAGGAACAATTACAGCAAGAACCCACTCATAATCTCAAGGACAGCCCCAAGCCATTCATGAGGGATCTGCAGCCATGACCCAAACACCTCCCATTAGGCCCCACCTCCCACCCTAGAGGGTAAAGTTTCAACATGAAGTTTGGAGGGTCAAGTGTACAAACAATAACAGTTCCTTTAGACGAACGAGAAAATGCATGGTGGAAAAAGTAGGTTATAGGTTATCAGGGGATGGGGATGGGGAGTGATTGCTTATTTATTACAGAGTTTCTGTTTTGAGTTGATGAAAAATTTTGAAAATAGGTTGTGGGAATAGTTGGACAACACTGTGAATGTCATTAATGCCATTGAATTATACACTAAAATGGGAAATTTTATGTTACATATATTTTACCACAATAAAAATAATTTTAAAAACTATTTCTCAATAAAAAGGGGACTCATCTTCTGAAAGAAATTATGCCAAAAGTAACACTGGGTTTTGCTCCCAGAACCTTCTGCCTATGGGCTGTGAATCTGGTCATATCACTTACCTCTTTTGAGTCTTAGCTTTATTAGACACAAATTGTGTTTCATGATGATTTACAGAGGATTAAATGTTCAAGTGTTTAGTGGGTTCTTGCTAATATGAGATACATTATTTGCATTTGCGTACTGTTGCAAATACAGGTAGAAGGGATGGAGTATCATGAAAACCATCTTCCCATTCTTGTTTTTTCGTTTTAGACTAGGTACTTCTTAATCCAGAGCTGTTTTGTTTTTGTTGTTGTTGTTTGGTCTGGTTTGGTTTTTTTGGTCTAAATCTATATGTAACCCAGCTTACAATGGAGCAGGCTTATTGCCAAGATCATTTTTTCCTCATTGCTATCATTAAACACAGTATTTTTCATTGCCTTTCTGAGGGACTTTTCATTTCCTCTGTCTCCAAAGTGGTCCCAGAACATTAGCTGGCCCTGACTCCTACGAGGGACACTGAAGGAATTCCTTCTAGTAGTGTTGGTAGTGAAGATTTATTTCCAGTTTCTGAAGGGAGGTCAGGTAAATCAACCTCCAACATCCCCTTTAGCCATGCGATTCCATGATTCTTGGATTCTATAATCTATTGAAGGAATGAGATATGATCCCCTTCCCTCCCCATCTGTCCACCAATAAAATGAAGCTGACAGGGCCCCCAAGGGATCTCACATTTCCTTTTGTGGAAAATGGAATTCAGATTTTTGTTAGATACTGATCTTTATGACTCTTTTTATGGAGCCTGAAATGGTCTGACCTATTATTTGGACCAAAATCCCTTGTCAACCACCTTGCATCTGATTTATATCTAGCTCAGACACGTGTTGCTCTTGCTTAACCAAGCTCTTCTGGGAGAAAATGAAAATCTGAACTGTAACATGTTGGAACTGCCTTCTGCTAGACTTGCCCAACACAACGAAAACATGCAGGGCCAAGGTGACCATGTATAATCCCAGGTACCACATCTCTTCACCCCTCTTAGTCTCCCAGTCTTGGGTTCTAGATGAGCCCTAAACGTAACCCACCTCATTGAGAGTTCTCCCTGCAGTGCTCTCCCACTGCCCAGCAGCAATCCAGTTTAGAATCTCCCTGTGCTCATACTCAGGCATGACTCAATTATTGCCTTCTTGCTCACCTCCCAGGTGGTGTTTCTCAGGCCCCTCAAGTGCCACATATCCAGAAATGAGTTCCCCATTTTATTTCTAACTTATTCTTCTCAGCCTTCATTCTGATCTCTTTCAGACTATTCTACACATGGCCTCCATAATGTTAATTGGGAAATTCAAATCAGATTATGTCACTCTTCAGCAACAGCTCTTTGGATGGTGTCCCCACTGCCTTCCCAACTTTCTTCCAGAAAGCTAAGGCCTTCCCTGATCTATCCCTTGCCCATCATTTGATCAAATGCAGGGTTTTTTTTTGCTGTTTTTGTTCATTTGCCTCAGTGTCTTTTTCACATTGTCTCTTCTGTCCTCTGTCTAGAATGCTGTTTCTGTCTTCTTTACCTGTTTAATTTGTATTAATTGTCTAATATTCAACTCAGAGCCTTCCTCAAATCTCTACTCTCACCTCTTTCCCTTCCTCCATTAGATTAGATGTTATTCTGTTTCTATAATATTCTTTGGATAATTTTATCACTGGATTTACCACATTGTCTTGCAACTTTCTTAAGTTTATGTCTCAATTAATTGTGAATCTTTGAAGGCATGAGCAATCTTATATTTATCATATTGTCCCCAGAGTCCAGCATGAGATTGACACATAAAAATGGCTCAATAAACGTTAGTTAAATGAGTGAATGAATCACTGAGTGATTACCTAACTTGGCACTGCTTTTTCCCCTATGGATCTTCCTCATTTCCCCCATACTCTGCTGAGTTTATATGCAGATGGACCTGGGCCTCATTCAACTCTATGCCTTCCCTTGCCTCTCCCAGCAAAGGCATACAGCAAGAAATCAGCAAATGTCTGCTGAATCAACAAGGCTACTGCTTAGACTCCATGACTATTGGAGTAAAGGAGACATAAATGAAAGCTGACCAACCCATCTGTGCCTAGTGGAGGAAAGGCAGTAAGATTTTTACCATGAACCTAATGGCTGCTTTAGGTTGGACTCATTCACATTGGATTTACTGTGAAATAGACTCAACGCTGTCTTGAAACTTTAATTAGTTCTCCTCAGAAACCATGCAAGCAAGAAAATAATGAGTTAAATATTTAATATTGAAAGGAAAAAAAAAACCCACCATCCTAGAATTATGTACCCTGTGAAATTATCCTTCAAAAGTAGAAGAGAAATAAACACTTTCTTAGCGAAACACAAATTTAGGAAACTTGTTGCCAGTAGGTCTGCTTTGCAAGAAATGTTAAAAGAAGATCCTTAGAAAAAAGGGCAATAATATAGGTTGGAAACTCAGATATACTTAAAGAAGAGCAGCGAAGAAAGAATAAGTAAAAATAAAATCAAAATGTATTTTTCTTATTCTCAATCCATCAGATAGCAGTTTATTCAAAATGATAATAGCAAAAACGTATTTGAATATATAGATGTACATAATATATAAGCAAAATAAATGACAGAAATGATACAATGAACAGGAAGGGTGATTAGAATTATTTTGTTATTATAAGGTATGTGTACTACCCACGAAGCAGTATAGTGCTGTTTGAAAGTGATCTTGCTTAGTTGTAAATACATGTTTTAAAATCTAGGTCAGCCAGTAAAGAGTTAAAAAAACATAGTAAACTGATATGCTAAGAGAGGAAAGAAAATGGAATCATATAAAATGCCCAATTAAAGCCACAAAAGGCAAAAAAAAAAAAAAACAGTAAAAGAATAAACAGAAAGAACAAGGGCAATGAATAGAAAAATATGGCAGATATCATTATTCTTTTTATCATTTTTTTTTTAAGTTGGAGTCTCACTCTGTCACCCAGGCTGGAGTGCAGTGATGCCATTTCATCTCACTGGAACTTAGCCTCCTGGGTTGAAGTGATTCTCCTGCCTCAGTTTCCTGGGATTACAGGCAACCCCCCGCCCCCACCACACCTGGCTAATTTTTGTGTTTTTAGTAGAAACAGGGTTTTGCCATGTTGGCCAGGCTTGTCTCAAACTCCTGACCTCAAGTGATCTGCCCGCCTCAGCCTCCCAGACTGCTGGGGTTATAGGCATGAGCCACCACGCACAGCCAAAATATGGTCTAAAGGCATCAAAGAAAAGATAGAGATTGTCAGAGTGAATTAAAAAACAGACCCAATTACATGCTGTGTACAGGAACCCACTTTTAAATATAAGGACACATATAGATGAAATGCAAATGGATTAAAAGAGATTACAGGATCGAGACCATCCTGGTCAACAAGGTGAAACCCCATCTCTACCAAAAATACAAAAATTAGCTGGGCATGGCGGTGTGCGCCTGTAGTCCCAGCTACTTGGGAGGCTGGGGCAGGAGAATTGCTTGAACCCAAGAGGCAGAGGTTGCGGTGAGCCATGATCATGGCATTGCACTCCAGTCTGGGTAACAACAGCGAAACTCCATCTCAAAAAAAAAAAAAGATTACGGTAGTAATACTAATCAAGCTGGAGTTGCAATATTAATTTTAAATAGAGCAGACTTCACAGCAAGGAGAGTGCCCTTATTTAAGGGCATTAGATGATAATAAAGGTGTCAAATCTTCAGGAAGATATAACGATCCTTAAAGTGTATGTGCCTAACAATAGATCATCAATATAATATGTGAGGCAAAAAAAAAAAAAAACTGATAGAACTGCAAGAAGAAAGATTAATCCACTATTACATTTGCAGACTTCAACATCCCTGTATCAAAAATGGATAGATCCAGCAGGCAAATTATCAATGAGGACAGAGTTGAACTCAACAACACTATTAATCAACTGGAGGTAATGGATATCTGTAAACCACTTCATCCAGCAACAGCAGAATACACATTCTTCTTATGCTCACAAGGAACATCATTCACAAGAATAGATCATACTCTGGGCCATAAAATATACCTTAACAAATTTAAAAGAATGGAAATTATACAACGTCCACTCTCAGATCACAATGGAATTAAACTAAAATTCAGGAAAGAGAACTGGAAAATCCCTCTCAAATAATTGCAGATTAAACAACATGGTTCTAAATAACACATGGATCAAAGAAGACATGTCAACAGAAATTTTTAAATATTTTGAAGTAAAGGAAAATGAAGATAAAACTTTTCAAAATCTACGGAATGCAGTAAAACCAGTGCTAGAGACAGAAATTTATAGTACCCAATGAATATATTAGAAAAGAAGGAAAAGGAAGACCAAGCCAGGTAAGTGCTGGCTGTGCCGCCTCCAATCCACCCCCCGGCCCCTCTGGGCCCACCAGGGAAGCATGGCGGAAACGCGAAGCTTCGGGAAGACTTCAGGATGCAGAATAAATCCGTCTTTTATTTGGGCGCCAGTGGAGAAACCACCGGCAGAGTGCTCTTAAAGGAAATCTGGGGCGGGCTTGTTTTCCAAAGTCACTCTCATTGGCCGGAGGAAGCTCGCCTTCAACAAGGAAGTTTATAAAAATGTGAATCAATGAGTGGTGGACGTTGAAAGATTGGATTACTACGCTTCTGCCTTTCAAGGTCATGATGTTGGATTCTGTTGCCTGGGTACCACCAGAGGGAAAGCTGGGGCGGAGGGATTTGTTCGTGTTGAGCGAGATGATGTGCTGAAGTCTGCAGAGCTGGCAAAAGCTGGAGGGTGCAAACATTTCAACTCTGTATCTTCTAAAGGAGCTGAAAAGTGAAGCAGTTTTTTAATACCTGCAAGTTAAGGGAGAAGTGGAAGCCAGATCTGAAGAATTAAAGTTTGATCCGTATTCTGTTTTTAGGCCTGGAGTTCTGTTGCGTGATAGGCAAGAATCTTGCCCAGGTAATGTATGTTTGCTTAGAAAGTTCGTTGGCTCCTTACCAGATTCTTGGGCTACTGAGCATTCTGTGCCTGTGGTGACTGTGGTTAGAGCAATGCTGAACAATGCGGTGAGAACAAGCGACAAGATGATGATCCTGCTGGAAAACAAGGCCATCCATGACGTGGGGAAAGCGCACGGCTCTCTCAAGCCGTGATCACACTGGAGAAAAGGTTTTTAGTGTCAACTTTAACACCTATCACCAAATCGGTAATTTCAGGGTCCAAAAAAAGTCAGCATATTTTAACTTCGTTGTTTTACTAGTCTCAGGCATCCATTCCAATCAAGAAATGGTGGTGTTCTGCATCATTGGTTCAGAGCTTGGTTATACATATAGATCACCCAGGGAGCTTTGGAAAAGTAAAGATTTGCAAGCTCTATCTCAAACTTGAATCAAAATTTCTGGGGCATGGGCACAATAATCTGTAATTATCCTTGTTTATACTTCCCCTGATGCCACTGGTTCTGATGCCACTGGTTGGGAGGCCTCCTTTGAAATGCTTGTATGCATAGTCACACAGCAGTGAAAACCTTATGAACATGCAAATGAGCTCTGCTCTAAAATTGTTGACATTCATGTCTGAGTTACAAAAGTGCTAATTAACTGCATGTAATTGTGTAAGTAAACACTGTGCCTTTACTAATTCTTTATGTAATAGAAGTTGCATATCTAAGCTTATATAATACATGGAGAGGACTAAATAAAGGAATAAAGATAAATGAAAAAAGAAAGAAAGAACAGAAGAAAGAGCTAAAATAAAGCTTCCACCTTGGGAAACTAGTAAAACAAGAACAAATCAAATTAAAAGTAAGCAAAAGAAAAGAAATAATAAAAATAAGAGCAAAAATCCATTAAATTGAAAACAGGAAATCAATAGAGAAAAGCAACAAAATCAAAAGCTGGTTATTTGAAAATATCAATAAAATTGATAAACCCCTTGTCATGTTGACTAAAAAAAGAGAGAGAGAGAACACAAATTATTAATATCAGAAGTAAAACAAGGGGCACTACCTCAGATCCCATAGACATTAAAAGTAGAATCAAGAAATACTATGAATAAATCTGTGCCCTCAAATGTGGTAATCTAGATCAAATGGACCAGTTCCTTGAAAGACACAATCTGCCAATTCATGCAAGAAGGAATAGACAATCTGAATGGACCTATATCTGTTAAAGAAATAAAATCAATAATTAGTAATATTCCACAACAGAAAGCACCAGGCCCAGATGGGTTAACTGATAAATTCTACCAATTCAAATTGAGGGCCATAGACTTTTGCTAAAATTCATCAATATTACATGAATATATTCTTGGACTCAAGACAGAAATCTTGAATTCCAGCGAATTAAGATAATTATTCATTTGCTTCATCTCACTGTGTATAGTGGATACAAGTCTTCAGGCAATGGCAACACTACCACAAACAATATGTTTCCTAAAAAAACCTGTTTAAGATTTTTGTTTGTGTCTTTTTGTCCTTAGAGTTTATTCCACTAAGGTCAACTTACTGTTTTGAAATAGTTTCTCCATGCATAGTTAGGTCACCAGTGCAATACACAATGAAGCACAGCTGTTTATTTTGCTTTCGCTTTTCAGAGTTTTATTTTAAGATATAATTTTGTTTTGTAATTATGCAAAACATACATGGTATCGAAGGCAAATTTATAAAACCAAAGATTTTCTCTCTTTTTTTCTTTTACTTTAAGATCTGGGATACATGCACAGAACATGCAGGTTTGTTACATAGGTGTACATGTGACATGGTGAAACCAGACTTTCAGGCAGGTAGATTCTAACTTTGGCTCCTGCACCTTGCTTCCTCTCTCCCTCACAGTGAGTTGTGCTTTTTTTTTGAGTTTTAAAAATTTTTGACTGGGTACTGTGGCTCATGTCTATAATCCCAGCACTTTGGGAGGCTGAGGCGGGTAGATCACTTGACGTTAGGAGTTCGAGACCAGCCTGGCCAACATGGTGAAACCCTGTTTCTACTAAAAATTAGCTGGGGCATGGTGGCACATGCCTGTAGTCCCAGCTACTCAAAAGGCTGAGGCAGGAGAACTGATGACCCAGAAGGCAGAGGTTGCAGTAAGCTAAATCACAGCACTGTACTCCAGCCTGGGTGACATAGCTGGAGTCCATCTCAAAACAAAACAAAACGAAATTCTTCTAATTTTAGTATGGGAAAATATATGCATATATTTATATACTCCTTTTTCTTTGAGAAATAGTAGCATACTACACACATAATTTTTTAAATTTTCTTTTTCTGTCAACATATGCCCTGACATTTGCTCTGTAGCAGTACATAGGGATACTCTCATATTTTTTCAACTCCTGCCAGTGCCATCTGAATGCAGGGTATGTGTGAAATACATCCATTCTCACCAAACTGACACAAGAACAGAAAACCAAACACCACATTTCTCACTCATAAGTAGGTGTTGAACAATGAGAACACATGGACACAGGGAGGGGAACATCACACACCAGGGCCAGTTGGGGGGTGGGGAGATACGGGAGGAATAGCATGGAGTGGGGAGATTGGGGAGGAATAGCATTAGGAGAAATATCTAATGTAGATGATGGAGTGATGGATGCAGCAAACCACCATTGTAGGAAAAGACCCCATAAGTGAGGAGGCAGGAGCCAAAAGCCTCAGCCCATTTCCATATAAATAATGAAGACAGTAACCAGAAATATAGTCATAGTAGTTATTAGCTATTCATAGGTAATCTTAGTTATTCATAGGTGATCTTAATTCTTTTACTAATGCCCCTCAGGTAGGAAGTGTGAACCTGGGGTGACATTGTGAAATAAATGACACTAAGGCAAGATGCTTTAAGCCCTCTGTCACGCCTGCATAAGGGCTGCTGGAGGGCACCTTGGCTGTGCTGCAGCACCAGCACTGGGAAAACACCTGCTGTTTAGACAGCTAGGGAAGGAGACGTCCAAAATAGCTGAGATGTCTCCTTCCCCAGAGGAGTTAGCAGAAAACTCCACCTCTCCAAGCTCTGTCAGGTAGGCCCATGGAGATCCTGGGGCTTAACTGTCTATGTGATGCTGTGCTTCAGTGGTCACAATCCATGTCGACTCTGCTTCTGCTTCTGCACTTCGTTCCTTTTTTCTTAGAAAAGATAATCAGTAATAGTAATATAAATCTTAATGTTTTTGTTCTTTCCTGATAAGTATGGAAAATGTGCTGATACATTATGCTCCTTACGTCATTTTGGGTGCCAGAAATTCCTCAGCACCACCTGAATGATGTGTGATGTACTTAACCCTATCACTACCACACCCTATCTACCCTGCCTCCAGTCTCTGACCACCAAGACCATGCCCTATCTACCCTGCCCCTAGATTTGCAACTCAATAAAAGTGAGAGTGTCCAGGCATTCGAAGTCACTGCTGGTCTCCTCAATTTGGGTAGCAGTGGACCCCTGGGCCCAAACTCTTTTCTCAATCTTCGTGTCTTATGTCTTTTCTTTCTACAATTTCTCTCACCGCACCGGCTGAAAGGGGCTCACAGAACCCTATAGGGCTGGACCCTACACACCATGACACATGTATACCTTTGTAAGAAACCTGCACATTCTGCACATATACCCCAGAATTTAAAATATAATTTAAAAAAAGAAATAAAGTTTATTCAATTAACAAACTGCTGATGGATATTTATGTCTTTTTAAAAACAAGATGCTACAACAAAGACCTTTGTACATGTATCTTTTAGGATTTTTACTAGAATTTTAAGATGTATTTAATTTTTATAATAAATGAGTTTCAATTTTTGTCAAATACCTTTCTGCACTGTGAAGATATTTACTGACTTTTTTTTCTTGACTTTGATAGTATGATGGGATATATAAATGTTTTCCCAATAGTAAACCAATAACATATCTAGACTATATCATATTTTTTAAATATGCTATTAGATTCTGTTTGATTTTGTTTTATTTGGGATTTTTGCATCTGCATCCTAAGTGAGACTGGTTTGTGGTTTCCTATGTTGGTTCAACCTTGGTCAGATTTGGGAATAAATGTTAGACCTGTGCTCTAGTTTTAATTGCCATCCATACACTGAACTCTCACAAATATTTACCAGACCTCTGCCCCCACTTCCAGACTACTCTGTCCAACCGTCTTCTTCACATTCTTGTGTCTGACAAGCACTTCAAACCCAGCACATCCAAAACGGAGCTTGATTTTCTCCCCACACTTGTTCCTCCATAGGCTCGGCATCTCCAGAAATGTCAACTCTATCGTTTTAGTTGCCCAGGGCCATAAGCCTTGGACCTCTCCCTGGCCTTTCCTTGATTCCTGGAAGTTTCATTGGCAGTTCCTGTAAATGTCATCTGAATGTATCTAGAGGATGATCTCATCACAGCTCTTGTGCCATTGAATCTTTCCTCAGAAGCCACTGTCTCCTTCCCCTTGAATAATGGTACTCACCTCTTATTTTTCTCCCTGCTTCCATCCAGACTATGCTTAATACAGCAGCAGGGTGATCTTTTTTTTAAACCAAGTTGCATGATGTCTTTTTAAAATTTCAACTCTCCAGTGGCTTCCCAACTGATACACTCACTCTTTGCATTGTCTGCAAGGTCCTATGTGACCTGTCCTTTATCACTTCCAGATCCTTTCCTGGATGTCTCGTGTCTACTTAATCAGTTCCAAATGGACTGCCTTCTTGCTACTGCTCAAACACACCAACTCCTCTGCCTGGAAGGCTCTTTCTCCTTCTATCCACACAGCTCTCTTCCTCACACCCTTAAGATGTTTGATCAGATGCCGCTCTCTCAGTGGGGTCATCTGGGGCCAATTCTTCCCTTACAGGATTGTCTAGGGCCAATTTTTCCCCATCTACCCGGCTTCATTATTCTCCAGAGCATTTATCCTGTGGTGCCGGATTATGGATTATATTTATTGGTTCATGGTCTGCCTTAGCTCCATTTAGGCAAGGGTATTCATTTTGTTCACTACGGCATTTCCTGGGACTTAGGACAATATTAGCTCACAGAAGCATTCAGTAAATATTTATTGAACTTGCTTTCCAAGTATAAATCCATGTTGGTCATTATCTCATTTATAATAATTGCTCTATGAGGTTTGCTAATACTTTAATAATTTTGTGTCTATGTTCATGAGTGGAATCAGTCTATAAAATCTCTCCTTACAGGCCAGTCACGGTGGCTTACACCTGTAATCCCAGCACTTTGGGATGCTGAGGCAGGCAGACCACTAGGTCAAGAGATTGAGACCATCCTGGCCAACATGGTGAAACCCCATCTCTACTAAAAATACAAAAATTAGCTGGACGTGATGGCATGCACCTGTAGTCCCAGCTACTTGGGAGGTTGAAGCAGGAGAATCTCTTGAACCCAGGAGGCAGTGGTTACATTGAGCTGAGATTGCGCCGCTCAATGAAATGTGCTCAGTGGTTGTGTAATTACGTCTCAGAAAAAAAAAACACTCCTTATATGGTTCTTGTTTTGTTGTTGAAGGAATTTGAGAAGTATTTCCTCTTTATCTACTCTTTTTGAACATTTTGTACAATATTGGAATTGAAAGTAAAACACTTGGGCCTGGTCTTATTTCTCTAGGAAGATTTTTAAATAAAGATATACTTTAAACCTTTCTCTTTTTTTAATAAGTCATTTGGTAAATATGTTTGTCTACAAATGTGTTTTTAATTAAGTGTTTATATTTATTGACATACTCATATGACTATTTAAATTTAAATTAATTAAAATTAAATAAAATTAACAATTCAGTTCCTCAGTCAAACCAGCCACATTTCAAGTGTTTGACAGCC